TTTTCAAAGCATATCACTTCATACACTGATAGGCATTTAATTTTTACCTTAAAGGACCATTTTGGTGTGTGTTTTATGATTATAAAAGTAATAGAGGCTTACTGCAGAAAACTTGGAAAATGTCAAAAAGTACAAATATGCGTCTGCCTGGTTTATAGCACTACCTGCTGGCTCTCCTACTTGGCTGCCATTTCTTTTAACAAAACCCACTCTAGTGTTTTTCTAATGTGTGAAGCATTCTCTCAATTACTCCCCAGGATTCAGTTCACACCGATGACCAGTACTGATCACACCCGTTAGGTCCTCAGCTTCCTTCTGTGCCTTTTTCTCTCCCGTCTCCTTTCCCTTTGAGAAAACCCCATCTCATGAGTGACCTAAAGCAGGAACCAAGCTTTATGCAATCCCCACCCTGACCGCTTAGCCTGGCAGCGCTTGACTTTCCTTTCTCTCTCATTCATTCGACAGTCCTATGTCTACGGTTTAAAAGTAAGAAATGTCAAATTATGGCCTTAGACTGGCATTCAGATTAACAAGCACCGCTTGGGGAAAGAAAAACTTGAAATATTTCAAGTTTTATAACATAAATGTATTTTATGTTATAAAAGTAACCTGTAGATGGGTTATAAGGAGAGAAAGGATCACTGAAAATCATTTGTCAAAACGGGCTCCTCCCGAGGAGCGATAACTTCAGATGACTTTCAGACTCTTCCTCCCCACAGTCAACATGCATTTTCTAATCACTTACTGAGTACCTCTGAGGTCATATAGGAGATAAAAGGGTTTCCCCGAAGGCTCAGTGGTAAAGAATCCGCCTGCAATGCGGGAGACACAGGAGATGCGGGTTCAATCCCTGGGTCAGGGAAGATCCCCTGAAGGAGGGCACGGCAACCCACTCCAGTATTCTTGCCTGGAGAATCCCATGGACAGAGGAGCCTGGTGGGCTACAGTCCACGGGGTCACAAAGGGTCAGACATGATTGAAGCACCTGAACACAGCTCTGTGCAGGAGATACAAAAATATGCAAGGCAGGGTGTGGCCTTGAGCAGTTTCAGACTTATAGGTTAAAAGTTTCCAATGAGGCAGAACATGTTAAGTGGCATAAGGTGGCTGGAATGCTCTGGGCATTCAGAGAGGGGAGCTCTTCCCTGACGGAGGGGATCAGGCATCTGACCCAGGTCTTGGAGGACAGACAAGAGACACACGGGAGATGTGCATGAGTGTACGGGTAAGTGTGCCGGGTGAGTGGGAGCAGGGATCTGAAGCAGGAAGAACAGACTGAGCAGAGGCAGGGAGCCCAGGAACCCAGGCAGTGTGTAGGGAAGATAGGAGCCAAGTTGAACGGAAGCAGAGAGGGGAACAGAAGAGGCCAGAAAGGAAGTGTGCAAGCGCATGGCTGAGAGCCCGGGATGGCAGAGTTTGGACTCCATTCCCACTAGTTTGGAACTACTCAGTCATTCACCAAATGTTTCCTCATCATGAAGTGAAGTGAAGTGCAAGCTCAGTCGTGTCCGACTCTTTGTGATCCCATAGACTCATCCATGGGATTCTCCAGGCCAGAATACTGGAGTGGGTAGCCTTTTCCTTCTGCAGGGGATCTTCCCAGCCCAGGGATTGAATCCAGGTCTCCTGCATTGCAGGCGGATTCTTTACCAGCTGAACCACAAGGGAAGCCTTATCATAGACAACATCAGATAGAGACAGAAAAACAACTCATGGACCCTTGCTCTCACCATCACGGAATTCCATGACGACTTAACTTTCTAGAAGGATAGGTTAAACTCAAAGACACCTTATCAAGAGCAGAACAAAACCAGCTAAAAGGCAACACTAGTGACAAGAATTTATTTATTTTTATTTTTTGCTGAGTAACAAGGTGTCCCAAAAGTCAGTGACTAAAAAACAACACTCACCTGATTGTGTGCTAAACTGATTCAGTCGTGTCCGACTCTTTGCGACCCCATGGACTCTAGCCCGCCAGGCCCCTCTGTCCGTGGGATTCTCCAGGCAAGAATGCTGGCATGGGTTGCCACGCCTTCCTCCAGGAGGTCTTCCCGACCCAGGGACCAAACTCAACTTTCATACACCTCTGCATTGGTAGATGGGTTCTTTAGCACTGGCGCCACCTGGGAAACCCCACTCACTTGATTCCTTACTCGCAGTTCTGCAACTTGGGATGGTCTTGATGGAGACAGGTGGTGCTTTTCCATGTGGTGCTAGCTGGGGTAGCTTGATTGACTGGGGTCTGGCTAGAACGGCCAACTTGTGTCATACGTCTGGGTCTCAGATCTCAGCAAGGGCTGGGGTGGCCTGCACCTTGAAGGCCTGTGAGCTTTGTAGTTGCCCAGCCTTGAGGCCAAAGACAGCAAAGAAAAAGCCCAGAGATGGCAACGGGACGTCTACGGTTTTTTAGACAGGGGATCTTACACAAAGGCTCCTGGAGCAACAACCCACCATGTGTGGCAGAGGGCAGGCGGGACATGCCAGCACTCTCCTTCTCCACTCCGGGAAGGAGGAGGCTACCATTTATAGCGGGGAATTGACATCAGGTGGCCTCATCAGTTACCAGGGGATAATTAAGCCTTATAATTAAGAGGATTGTATAGTCATGTGAGTGAAGCAGGGACTGGCCAAGCAGGACCTATCCAGAGAGCAAGAGGACAACCTTCTTGAGAGGGGGAACCCCATAACAGAGGTCCTCAGTTCTCCTTCACATGCCATCTCCGCGTGGTTACCTCGGTCTTCCTTCCAAAACGGAGACTTCAGCCGCTCTTCTTCCTTCCTGGTAGTCTGGCTGTTGATGTGGCAGCTGGCTTCACCCAGACTGCAAACCAGGAAGCTGCTGGGGCTCTTAAAGCATAGCTAGAACCAGCACGTGGCCCTGCCAGCACATGCTACTCGTTAAAGCAGGTCCCGAAACCAGCCCTGATTTGAGGGCAGACAGTCACCCAAGGACAGGAGGCCCGATTCCCTGGAGGACACCAAAGTAACAATATACCACAAATCTTAAAGTGATTCTACAGCATCTTCCACAACTTTAACCAACCGAGGGGCCTTAAGTGCACAGATGTTTGTGCTGCCGGGTGTGGAACCTGCCTGCCCGCCTCCACCCCCACCTGTTTGAATGCGGTCATTTCTCACGCAGTCACTGATCACTGACTAGAACCGCAGTAGCTCTGAACCAACCTTGCAGCTTAGTTTTGAACAGGCCACCATCTGAGAAGGAAGAGGGCTCGGCTCAGAATCATCCCCCAGCTCAGCCCCGTGTCTGGATGACTCCCTAGAGGCCCTGCTGTCTAGTACCCAAGCGTCAAGACAGGGAGCAAGCAAGCCCACTCACGCCTGGCTCCAGCCGTCCCTTCCGCCCCCTCCCACAGCCTGTCTCTCCCAGGACACGTCTCACCCCCTCGTCTGCGTTACGCGGTCCTGTCTTTGGAGAGAGAGGACAGAAAACTGAGCTCCTGGTGCTCAGACTGACATCACGATCCCTCTGTAGCATCTGTGACCTTCTTGTGTTTTCCATTTTCAAGGCTGGACATAGTTGGTCCAGGTATGACCCAAATGCCAAGATCAGCAGTAAATACCAGGATTTCCAGGAGAAGACTGAGAAGACATCTGGCTGGAGGGAAGGTGGGAGGGACTGTGAGATTTTCCTTTTTATAAGATTTATAAGACTTTTTCCTTTTTATAAATTTATAAGGTTTATAAGATTTTTTTACAAAAGGGACTGTGAAATTTAACTCATTGTAAGACTAATGTGACCCCACTTATAACTAGGATTGATCACCAAAAAACTGACACAGTAGCCAAGAGATGATTAATAAAAATGTATCATCAGTACACATAAAAGCAAAAGTTAACTGGGTCAAACAAAAGAGCAGCAGCGGTGGTTTTTTTGAATTAGTTTTATTTTTCTACATTTCTAACCATCCATCAGTTATTCCATAACAAGGCAGTGTGCTGACTGAATGTAGGCCCCTGTAGTCAGGATTTGAATTCCAGTTCGATTAATTACTGGGAAATCTTGGCCAAGTTAATTTCCCTGTGCCTTAGTTTTCTTGGGCTTCCTTGTGGCTCAGATGGTAAAGAATCCACCTGCAATGCGGGAGACCTGGGTTTGGTCCCCAGGTGGGGAAGATCACCTAGAGAAGGGAATGGCTACCCACTCCAGTATTCTGGCCTGGAGAATTCCATGGACAGAGGAGCCTGGCAGGCTATAGTCCACGGAGTTGCAAAGAGTCAGACATGACTGAGTGACTTTCACTTTAGTTTTCTCACCTCTAAAATGAGGGTACTAATAGTACCTTTCTCACGGCTTGTTGTGAGTATTAAATAATACTTGCAAAGTGCTTAGAGAGTGCCCAGTGAAGTATAAACATGCTCAATACACATTATTCATTATTAGTATTCCACATATTACCATTAGCTCAAGGTTTTTCAACACACGCTTCATTGATTTTTTTCCTCTTTATTAACTCTTGTTTGGAATGATCTTGGAGATACTGACTGTTGATGACGATGAACTGGAAATTGCCCTCCACGCTAACTTCTTGGTACCTTGGCCAACTTTAAGTAGGTCTCGCCAGAAAAAGGTATTAATAGCAAATGGCAAAGGATCAATAGCAAATTAAAAAAAAAAAAACTTCAGATAATATTCTCCTAAGCCTTAAAAATCAAAAAGAAAGGTTGGTGACAGAGATATCCTTAAGAAGAAAAATGCTGAGAAAAAAGCACTGAATCCACATACACTTTAAATGTTTTAAAGAAAGGACGCACCTTGTCATCAAACATGTGTGGAAGAAAATGAGACATAAGCTATTTAGAATTTAGTTTCGATGCAACTATACAATTCCACCGCCTTAAGTTTGCCATCAATTGCTCTCCCAACATTCCATCTTCTATCACAATCACCAGAGGCAACAGAGCACCCAAACGGTTAAAAGAGGGGAAATATCAGCCCCCAGCCATGCGCTCACTGGACCCACCTCCCTGCCGCTCTGTGTTTACAGGATTTTATTTGCATAGAAGAACTGCAGGAGCTCGGGATGGTAGTGGCTCTGAAAGAAATTGGCAAAGGGACACGTGAGGGAAGGATCTGGTAAACCTCCTCCACTCTAGAATGAGTTGATGGTCATCAAAGGCTGAGCTTGAGGATAAACAACTTTCAGGTTCTCAGAGGAGGAGGAATCATCACTTGCATTCACCCAGAGATCTAAGACAGGTGGTGCTAGTGGTAAAGAACCCGCCTGCTACTGCAGGAGACATAACGCAGGTTCCATTCCTGGGTCAGGAAGATCCCCTGGAGGAGGGCATGGCAACCCACTCCAGTATTCTTGCCTGGAGGATCCCATGGACAGAGGAGCCTGGCGGGCTACAGTCCATAGGGTCACAAGGGGTCGGACACAACTTAAGCGACCTAATACACACACAGAGATCTAAACAGGAACTGCCAATGTATTTTGTGCACAGTCCTCTGGGCGTTTTGCCATTTACATTGCTTTGTGGGTCAACTACAGTTGAAACATTCTCAGCCTGAGTTGTTTATGGGGGTGACTCTCTGGCGTGCCGACCACCTTCCGCCTTAACGCGGCACCGACTGCGCAGGGATTGGAAGAACGTCTCCTGCCCTCGCTCACTCACCAGCTGCCGGCAGAGTTTCGGGTTCCTTTGATCCTCCTCATTCTGGAAGCTGTAGTCCTTGCTTTGTCTCAGATATGGAGAACAGGCTTGAAAAGTTGTTTTGCAGGCCTGAGAGAAATAATATTACCACGTTATGGTCAAAAACATGAGAGTTTTATAATCCCAAGCAAGGAGGAGGAATGCACCTATCTGTGTGGTCTGGGGACCACTGAGTGTGTGAAAGTCACTTCCAGGAAGTTTGAAGATTTGAATCTTAAAGGATTTATGCTTATGTTTTTTATTTTATTTTTTCAAACTTTAAGCTTTTTATTTTGTATTGGGGTATAACTGATGAACAATGTTGTGATAGTTTCAGGTGAATGGAGAAGGGACTCAGCCATTCATATACATGTACGCATTCTCCCCCAGATTCTTCCCATCCAGGTTGGCACATAACTTTGAGAGGATTTATGCTTATGCAACGACCATGTCTATAATTTCGGACTGGTGGGGAAGGCAAAGCTTGAGTTTACCACAACCCTTCCTTTCTCATCAAAAGTAGTGGACTGCTCTATTTAAATGGATAACCAACAAGGACCTACTGTACAGCTCATGGAACTCTGCTCAATGTTACGGGGCAGCCTGGATGGGAGGGAAGTTTGGGGGAGAATAGGTACATGTATATGTATGGCTGAGTCCCTTCACTATTCACCTGAAACTGTCACAACATTGTTAATCGGTGATACCCTAACACAAAATAAAAAGTTAAAAAAAAAAACTTTAAAAAAGTCATGCTAGATTCCTAAATTCAATTTCGATCTCAATCTCTCTCTCTCCCTCTCCTTCCTTCATGCACCGCCTTAAAGAAGATCAGTGATTTAGTGGAACCCTTTGCTGGGCTTCCCTGATAGCTCAGGTGGTAAAGAATCCACCTACAATGTGGGAGACCTGGGCTCGATCCCTGGGTCAGGAAGATCCCCTGGAGAAGGGAATGGCTACCCACTCCAGTATTCTGGCCTGGAGAATTCCATGGACTCTGTAGTCCATAGGGTCTGACAAAGAGTCAGACACGACTGAGCGACTTTCACTTTCACTTGCTCCTAAGGGTTTTGAAACTCTTACCTGCTCTAAAGCAGCCCTGAGGTCCAGCCAATCTCATTGGGACACATTTTCTCCAAGAATGAAACAAAAGTTTTGTGGCTCAGACAGTAAAGAATCAGCCTGCAATGCAGGAGACTCGGGTTCAATCCCTGGGTCGGGGAGATCCCCTGGAGAAGGGAATGGCAACCCACTCCAGTATTCTTGCCTGGAGAATCTCATGGACAGAGGAGCCTGGTGGGCTACAGTCCATGGAGTCACAAAGAGTCACACACAACTGAGCGATTAACACACTTCTCACTTTTCACAGGAAGCTAAGAAGCCAAATCTGAACCAGGTATGATGACAAAAGCTAGCTGGGAGTGAACGAATCTCCTCTAAGAGGAGCTGCTGCCCGAGAGTCAGCCAGCACCTCCCTGCCCCCTCTCCATCAACCTGACTGTATCTGGCATTGACAGGGGCTGGGACCAGGCAGGCAGGGCAGGAGCAGATGGAAAAGAACACCCCTGCTCAGAGAGGAATCAATCAGCCATCAGAGAGGCACTTTCTCCAGGACTCACACGGATGCTCCTCTGAGCGTCCACGATGGAACTGGCATCCCGACTCAGCAGGGCTGCCTCCCCGCTACCTCCGCAAATGGTGCCGCGGTTCCAGGCAGTTGCCCGGAGAGGCTCAGACTTACCGTGGCCACCTGGGGATTCCTGTCCTGTAAGTGGGTCAGGAGGGAGTCTTGAGTCTGCTTCACCTGACGGGTAAAGAACCTCTTCCACTTCCGTCCAGCAAGTGCAGCCAGTTGCCCAAACAAGACAAAGGCCGAGTATCTCAGGCTGTCATTCTCCTGCGGGTCCCCCGTGAACAGAACAAGCCCCGGTCAGTACCACAAAGAGCTGCATCACGGGACAGTGAGGCCCTATTCCCTGCACGTTCCAGGTGGGCCCTGACCTCCCGTCTCAGCACTCGGCCGGCTGGGCTGGGGGATGGAAAGGAGACCCCCTGAGTCTGCACTGAGGCTCTCCTCCAGCAGACTCGGGGTTAGACACGGGCATCACTGGGGCTACTCCCAGCTCCCCAGAATTTTTCTTCATTATTTAACGTTTTGGAGATTGACGATGTTTACAGGGTTTGAAATTCAAAATAACCAAGTATTATGGGGTTCCCTGGTGGCTCAGATGGTAAAGAATCTGCCTGCAATGCAGGAGACCCAGGTTCGATCAATTCAAAATAAACCAAAAAGGTTTATAAAAAAGAAAAAGTACGTCTCCTTCCTACACTTCTCCACCTGCCACCAAAGTTCCCTCCCCACAAAGTCATATATTTTGTATGCAGCCCTCTGGAAAATTAGGAAGGAAAAAATAAAATATATATTATTATATAGCCCTTTCCCACATTTTTACACAAATGGACATGGACCATTCCACTGTTAGGCACTTTTATTTTTCATCAATCTCTCTGGGAGCTCTTTTCCATGTCAATCCAAAATGAGGGTTTTTTTTGGGGGGGTGGGGGGGTTGCTGTGTCATATGACCTATTCCCTGTTAATACTCCCAGCATTTTTGCCAGGCCATCTCTCTTTACTTTGGTCTGAATTCTCCCACATGCAGCAGAAGCCATTGTTTCTTTCCTGACATTCTGCCAGCTCTCCAGCTCTGGCTCTGATTGCCTGGTGTGTCCCTGACTGCAGGCCAGCAGCTTCAGCCCTTTCTCTATCTCCCCAGGGAGCTGTCTGGTCCAAGTATTTCCCTGCCCAGGCGAGGAGACAGCAGGGATTTGCCCAGAGTCACAGGGTGAGGGAACAGAGAACCAGAGTGGTAACCCAGTCTCCTGACTCATGGTGAAGGAATAAATCAATGTTTCCTGATCCTCACCAGCTCCAGGTGAACCAGAGGGAACTGGACTGGGACAGGCCTCCTCACCTAGAACTGGGGGGACACAAACATTCAGCAAGAATGGACACCACTGATCTCTTGTGAAACAATGTTTAGCACATGTGACAGACACAGAAATTGCTTTAGTGTTGTGCTTTCTCCGCTGTTCTACCAGTGTGTGTGTGTTTAATTCAATTCAGCTAGTGCTCATTGAGTCCTGACTCTACCTGAAGCACTACCCTAATGCTATGAGATGTACAGAGGTGTGTAAGGGGATGTCTGTCCCCCCAGGAGTCTGACAGTCATCTGACGGGGACACAGCACAGGCAGGCAGGGAAGGATGCTCTGACAGAATTACAAACTGTCAGAGCTCCCCACGAGTATCCCCAGGTTTCACCATGACACGGGCTCTCTGATCAAAAATCACAGTCTACCAGGCTTTAAAAAATGATTGCATGGGAAAATGGGTTACCTCTTTATTCCTTAAAGCCAGACCTGGGGTAAGTTCCTTGACCCCCGCAGCCTCAGTTTCCTCAGTCACAAGATGGAGCTGATAAAAAGAGCTCATACTCCCTTAACCAAGAAACGTGGGGCCAGAAACTTCTTGGAATTCCATTTTTCACCTCTCAGATTGAGTGTCCTTAAGTGTTTATTTATGTATTACACACATTCCCACGGGAGGGTCTGCAGCAGAACCCCCGAAGCAAATGCGCTTGGAAAGGGGACTGAGGAGTTTCCCCTGAGGCCCTCGAAGTCCTCGTAACCCCCCCTCCCCACCACCTTAACGCCTAACTGCTCCTCTCCTCCGGAGGAAACCCAGTTTGCCGGAACCGTGGTTGCTGATGTGCACAAAGAATCCTCCCTCTTTCAAGACCCATCTTTGCCCGCCGTGTACACACACACAGGATTCCATCACCCCCGCCCGCCCCCCCAGGAGGGTTCACCGTAATGGAGCCCTGATGACGTTGACGCCCACGTGTGCTCAGTGACATTCCCGAGACTTGATAAATTAGGATTGATGCCCCGATCCCCGGTCCTGTTTAAAATATCCCTCCCTTCTTCCTTAAGGCTGAACACTCCTTTCAGGGACCCTCATGCCTAGAATTCTAGAACAAAGGCTTATGCTGTGCCCCACCCCCTCCACCCCTCAAGATCGCATGGCAAACAAGCCCTGGCAATCAAGATGGCACCTCCAGAGAGACTTAGAGACACCTCCCTGGAGATACCTGCTTAATACTCCAGGGAGGTGGAGACCTCCAGGGAGACCTCCCTCCCCGCCCCAGAGAGCCCTGGTTCACATCCCAGAGCACAGGCCTCTCTGTCTCCGTGAGCAGGAAGGGAGACAAATGTCCCAGCAGCTACTCATAAGCTTCAAGCCCCATACTTTACGGGTTTCTCTTCCTCCCGTGGGGTGCAGTCACCCGGTGCTCACAGTTACTGCTGGGGAATCAGCTGTGCGTAACTCATGCAAGATGCTCTGTGAGTAAATGCAAGGTCTGTTCCCTGTCCACAGGTCTTGCCTTTCTCTCTGTGTGTGTGTGTGTGTGTGTGTGTGTGTGTGTGTGTGTAACTACGGTAAGCTAACTGATCAGCTCCTGAGTCCTCACATTCTGTGTCCAGGCACTTTTTGTTCAGCCTGCCTTGTCACCCAGCAGTTAAGAGGGCAGGCCCTGATTGTAAAGCAAGTGTCCTCCAGTTAAAAATCAATTTGAAAAATTAAAATAATAAATAGATAAGCAACAAGGATATACTGTACTAAGAATTACAACCATTATCTTGTAACAACTTTTAATGGAGTGTAAACTGTAAAAATGCTGAATCACTATGCTGTGTGCCTGAAACTAGTATTGTAAATCAACTATACCTCAATAAAAACAGAATTCAATTTTAAAAAGTTTTTTTAAAAAACAGAAAAAAAAAAAAGTGCAGGCCCTAAGCAGAGGGCCTAGTTTCATACCCACTGACTCGCTCCATGATCCCTGGGCAAGCTATCTAACCTTTCGGGGCCTTGGTTTCTTCCTCTGTAAAGTGAAGGTAACAGCGCCTGCTGCACCGGGTTATCGTGAGGATGAGACAATCCATGCTCACTGCCTGGCGACATGCCTGCAGTAGGAGCTCACTAAATAGGAGCTACTCTGATATCACATTTGTAAGAAACCATTGAACACACGTGGGTGTCATCATCGTTAAGGGTGTATACACTCACGGTTCTATCACGATGAACACTCCTTGAGGGGTGGTGATGGAATCCTACATATCTTTATGTGTCTTCCATAACCCCCAGCACAGTACCAGTCTCTCAACAAGAAAGTTGAAAGTGAAAGCCGCTCAGTCATGTCTGACTCTTTGCAATCCCATGGACTATATAGTCCATGGAATTCTCCAGGCCAGAATACTGGAGTGAGTAGCTTTTCCCTTCTCCAGGGGATCTTCCCAACCCAGGGATCGAACCCAGGTCTCCCGCATGGCAGGCAGATTCTTTACCAGCTGAGCCACAATTTCTTCATAACTAGTGAATAGCAGAGGCCTTGTTTCCTGAGCAACGCATCACCGGGGGCTCACATGTGACTTTAAGAACCTGGAATCTTTCCGTGTTGTCTCACTTACATCATCGAGCAGAGTCCGGGTCTGGAGGGTGATGTCTATGAAGAAGGAGCCCAGGGCTTTTCCCTGCATCTTGCCCAGGATGATGGTCAGGGTCTTCATGCTTTCATGGATGACTTCAGAGCTCACTGGGTCATACAGACCGTGCACCAGCAGGTCTAGGATAATCTTCTTATACTTTCTCACCTGTTAGCAAGGTTTGGAAAGTGTTAGCAGCACAGCAGTCGCTCCGCATGGCTTGGAGAGCAACTCCACTTCCAATCATCCAATAACCTGGGGCTTAGACTAAGAGGTCGTGGCTTTCTTCAGCACGGGATGCAATAACTCTCAGCAAAATAACAAATGCTTTCAATAATCTGACCCAAGAGCCCAGTTCGGCCTTGGAAGAATGGAAAGAGCAGTTTGGAGCCTGGCCCTGTGGGTGGGTGAGGCTGGGGAGGGCACGTAACGGAGGGTGGTGGGCTGGGTGACCTAGGGACCGATGGCCTATCAGGGACTTTGACAGGGGATGAGACGAAATGGCACTGAAGTTGACAGATGCTGAAGGAAGAAGTGGGGAAAACATCTTTTCCTAAACAAACATAAATTCTTAGAAAAATTAAATTCTTTTACTAAACATAAATTCTTAGAAAAACTAAATTCACTGGAGGGTGATGTCCAGCCGTGTGTTAACCTTGCCTGAGGTTCTGTATCCCAAGACTGATGATCCTGAGGAATGATGACCCTGAACTGACCCCAACGGAGTCACATGAGCCTCTGGACAGTCTCTTGCCCTTGAGGGTGGGAGGAGCCAGGGACTCTGAGAGCTTCTGACCTCTCAAACGTCACGGTGGTGATGGATGTCGTTCCATGGTTCCCTTAGATCCCAAGGCAGACAGGATGGGGAGACACTCTCCTGCTGACCATGAAGAACTAAGCTGCCATGCTGTGTGAGGGCGGCCTCTGGGAGCTGAGGACGGCCAGTCAGCAAGGAAAGAGGGACCTTAGTTCTACAACTGGAAAAGAACTGAATTCTTCCAACAGCTCCCAAAGCTTGGAAGATGACCCTGAACTTCAGAAAGGAATGCAATCTGGCCCACACCTTGATGGCAGCCTTGCAGGCCCCTGGGCAGAGGACCCAGCTGAACTGTACCTGGACTCTTGACCCAAGAAAACGGCAAGATATGAATGCCGGGCCATGGAGATCCATTACACAGCAGTGGACCCCCAGTCCTGGGGACTCCAGGCCACGAGGGCTGGCCGAGCGCCCCCTGCCCTTCCTACCTTGTCCGGGGTCTCACAGGCCATGGTTCCCAGGCCTCTCATCACCATATGACGCTTTTTAACACTGGGGTCCCGGGCTGTCTCTGCCAAGATGAAAAACACATTCTTCAGAGGTTCCTGCTTCTGAAGCCTCAGGTTCCAAGAGACCTAGGTGGTGGGTCAAAAATACATTGATTTGGAAGTGTTCAGAGTGACACCCTACCCATCACCAACCCTAATCCCTCCCTGTAAAAAAAACCTGTTTTGCTGCTTGATTTTACTCCTTCTTTCTCTGCCTAAAGACACCTGGCTTTTGCTGGGAATATATTGTTTAATCTATGTATTGGAGGAAAGACTGGAGGAAGAGAAAAGGGGGTGGAGAAAAATGATGCAGAGCTTATGTTGAGGTAGGTTTGGGGGGATTACAGAGAGGAGTGTCTGGGCAGCTGTGGATGTGACAGAGCTGAGGCAACGGGGCTTTAGGAGCGTTCATGTGATCTGAGAAGCCCAGTCTCTTTAATGGGACAGGAGAAGCTGTGTTCCCCAAGTCCCAAAGAAGGGTTTCCTTGACCTTCTTTCTCTCATGGCTCTTGTTTTTCTGCTCCACCTTGTAGCTAAACCTTGAAAAATGTGTCTATATTTACTTTCTCCAGCTCCTCTTCTCCATTCTTTCTTGAACCTTCACTCATCAGGCTAATGGCACCCATACCCCTTCCCCCACTCTCTGTCCCCAGTAGGACTAAATCCCAGGGTCAATTCTCAGTGCTCATTTCACTCAACCTCTCAAGAGCCTTTGACACAATTAGCAAAGCACATCAACAAGCATTTCAGGGCACCTGAAAGACGTCCTACCCCAGAATGCGAGCATCTGAGCAATGAAGATTAGGAAAAGAAATGCACAAATAATGCATATTGGGAAGCACTATGTGGCTGATGCAGAAATCTGGACTTCAAGGTCTAAACTCTTAACTGCCGGGCAAGAGATGGGATATTAGAGATTTGAGCCCTGATACCAAGAAGGGCGTGTTGTCCTGGGCATCACAGAACATGGCAATGTGTTGGAGTCAGAACCAAGACAATGCAAGACTCAGGCAAGATCCAGGCAAGATCCTAATTATCCTTAGTAGAGGGTGTGGGATGGGGCTGGAGACGAGACCCACAGCCCTATTTGGTGTTTGTGTGATTACCAAGGCTCATCAGTATTTCTGAATATTCATTGCAGTTCATTCTATATTATTATCATTAAGTTCACAGCAAGCTAAGTTCTTCCCAACTCATCTTCTTGTTATCCTATAAACAATTCATTCGTGTTAAGAGCTGCCATCAAACTTTTTTCAGAAGAGGCACCTCAGTAGAAGGAATGGAAAGAACCCGCAAGCACACGTATCGCAAAGTGGCTGCTGAGACAGGCCATTTGTTCATAATAATTTGTCTCAGACCTTGGAAAAGAAAGACATCACTGACATGCTTTTCTTCTTGGACTGGGTGGTGGGGCTGGAAAGGGGCTGGCCCAGCATTCTTCCCGGTGTTTGGTCCATGGAACTGAAAAAAGAACAAATCATCATATGAGCCACAGACACTCAAAGCCCAGTGCCAGGTGCTCCTTTATAGAAGCAGCATCCTTGAGGTTTGTCCTGGGGAAGCTGTCACCAAGGAGATGGGCCAGTCACCTCGGAAGATAAAGGGCAACTCTGGCATCACAAATCATCAGGGAAACAGATCAAAACCACGGTGAGATACCACCTCTGGGAGTGCACCCTCGGTCAAAGCCTGCAGTGGGTTAGGGCTTATTCCTTGAAGAACCAGGTGCTAAGCCAAGCTCTTTGTTCTTCTTTGTTTCTATACAGCTTGCAATTTTACCACGTGTGTATATTATTTAAAATATATCAGGTTGGCCAAAAACCCAAACGAACTTTTTGGCCAACCCAATACATTATAAATAAAGACAGCTTGCAAAGTGATTCTGATCTGCAGCCTGGTTTGAGACCCACTGGTGTAAACCAGTGCTGCTCAGACGTGAGTTATCAGACATGAGTTATCAGAGGAACTTGTTAAAATGCAGATTCAGACTCAGGGGGTCTGGGGTGGGGTTTCCTGCCTTTCTTGTAAGCTCCCAGGTAACATCAAGGCTGCCAATCCCGAGTACCACGCTTTGAGAGCAAGGATGCAAAGTTGGAAGCTATAGGAGATAAGAAAAGGCTATGCACTAGAAGTGCTGGTAGAGATGTCCCACTGCATGCAAGAGAGCTTTAAAGGAAAGGCTGAAGCATACTGCACACATCGAGATTCCAGTAGGATTCCATGTAGTATGTTTCATAGGAGAGGTAATAATAACAATTAAAACAGGAAAGTAGTAAAAGATAAGGCATCAGGAAGTAGTTTAAGGCCAGCCGTGAAGGACTGACTAGAGAGTTTATAGTTTTAATTGTAATATTAAGTTAAATTTGATTAGTTTAATTATGTAATTAAATTTAATTTAGTTTTAATTTGTATATGAGTGAGCCATTGATTTCTTTTTAGATGAAATCCATGTAACATACAATTAACTATTTTAATAACGTTGTGCAACCACCAACTTTATCAGGTCCTAAAACGTTTTCATCAAAGAAAATCCCATAACCATTAAGAAATCACCATTCTACCCTCCCCACCCAGTCCTGGCAACCATTAATTGGATTTCTGTCTCTACGAATTTACCTAATTCTGGATATTTAATATAAATGGAATCAAACAATACTATGGCCTTTTGGGTCTGGCTTCTTTCTCTTGGCAGGATGTTTTTGAGGTTTATCCACGTTGTCGCACATACTGGTACTTCATTCCTGTTCATGTCTAGGTAATATTTCATGGTATGGAAAGGCCACATTTCATCTTTTGATGGACACTGGGTTGTTTTCACCTTCTGGGTCCTTCGAATAGCACTTCTATGAACAATGGTGTACAAGTGTTTGAGTGTTTGCTTTCAATTCTTGGTATATACCCAGGAGTGGAATTGCTGAGTCATACAGTGATTCTAAATGGGCTTCCCTGGTAGCTCAGTCGGTAAAGAATCTACCAGCAATGTAGGAGACTTGGGTATGACTCCTGGGTCGGGGAGATCCCCCAGAGAAGGAAATGGCAACCCACTCCAGTATTCTTGCCTGGAGAATCCCATGGACAGAAGAGGCTGGCGGGCTACAGTCCATGGGGTTCACAAGAGTTAGACATGACTTAGCGACTAAACCATCACCATGGTGAGTCTATGTTTAACTTTTGGAGGAACTGCCAAACTGTTTTCCACAGTGGCTATAATGTGCAAGAGTTCCAATCTTACCACATCACCAAAAGTTTAGTTTCCAGTTTTTAAAAATTATTATTACATTCATCCTAGTGGGTGTGAAGTGGTTTGCCCTTCTGGGTTTGATTAGCACTTTTTAAATGACTACTGGCATCTTTTAGTATGTTTGTCTGTAGTTTGCATACCTTTATCAGAGAAATGTCTATTAAAATCCTTTGCCTATTTTTTAATTGAGTTGGTCTACCTTTTTGTTCTTTAGTTGTAGAGCTCTTTACATATTCTGGATGTGTGCATGCGTGTGCCTAGTGGCTCAATGGTGTCCGACTCTTTGTGACCCCAGGGACTGTAACCTGCCAGGCCCTCTGTCCATAGGGATTCTCCAGACAAGAAAACTGGAGTGAGTTGCCATGTCCTCCTTGGATCTTCACAACCCAGGGATTGAACCTGGGTCTCCCACATTGCAGGCAGATTCTTTACCATCTGAGGCACCAGGGAAGCCCCACACTCTGGATACTAGACCCTTATCAAGGGCTCCCCAGGTGGTGTAGTGGTAAAGAACCCGCCTGCCAAAGTAGGAGACATGAGAAACGTGGGTTCGATCCCTGGGTTGGGAAGATCCTCTAGTGGAGGGCATGGCAACCCCCTCCAGTATTCTTGCTTGGAGAATCCCATGGACAGAGAAGCCTGGTACGTACAGTCCATGGGGTCACAGAATCACACACGACTGATGTGACTTAGCACAGCACAGACCCTTATTGGACGTCTGATTTACAAATACTTTTCCCATTCAGTACATATTCTTTTTGTTTTCTTGATAATGGTTTTATGCACAATAGTTTTTAGTTTTAACCAAGTCTATCCATTTTTCTTGTTGTCATTGTTGTTCAGGCTTTCAAGTGTTATATCTAAGAATTCACTACCAAATCCAGTCACAAATATTTACCCCTATGTTTTCTAAGATTTTTATGGTTTTAACTCTTAGAGTGTTCACCCATTTTGAGTCAATTTTTGTGTATAGTGTGCAGTTGGGGTTCAGCTTCGTCAAAACCATTAACCTTTGTTTTAGAATTGACAGGCATGTAGCTAGAGTGGTTCTCAACCCTGCTCATGTTGGAATCACCTAAGGAACTTTGAAACATTTAATGCCCTGTCTACACCCAGTGGAGAAGGCAACGGCACCCCACTCCAGTCCTCTTGCCTGGAAAATCCCATGGACGGAGGAGCCTGGTGGGCTGCAGTCCATGGGGTCGCTAAGAGTCAGACACGACTGAGCGACTTCCCTTTCACTTTTCACTTTCATGCATTGGAGAAGGAAATGGCAACCCGCTCCAGTGTTCTTGCCTGGAGAATCCCAGGGACGGGGGAGCCTGGTGGGCTGCCGTCTATGGGGTCGCACAGAGTCGGACACGACTGCAGCGACTTAGCAGCAGCAGCAACAGCTACACCCCAGACCAAGTCTACCATCATCTCTGGAGGTGGGCCTGGGAATGAGTATTTTTAAAAAACTCACCAAGTAATTCCAATGTGCAGTTACTGAATAGACTAGTGACCAATCATCTTGTTTTGCCCTGGTGATACTGTGATTTATAAGAAAAAACATATATTTGGTCTTGGCCCCATTCCTGGCACAGAGGTCCTAAAACCCTTGGAATTCCCTAAGTGATTAGAACCATAAAAGCATCTTCTCTTATGCTAATGAGGTGGCCCTAAATCATCTAAAGGTGGGGGCTGGTTGTCAGGGGAACCAATCCAGTGATCAGAGGGCTGGAACTTTCAGTCTCACTGCCTCTTCTCCTAGGAGGAGAGGGCTAGAGATTGAGTTCAGTAACCAGTGGTGAATGATTTGATCAACCATGCCTAGGTAAAGAGGCCTCCACAAAACCCCAAAAGGATGGAGAGCTTCCAGATTGGTGACCACATGGAGCTTTAGGGAGGGTTGTGTACTTGGAGAGGCAGGGAAGCTCCTTGCCCTTTCTCCACGTCTTGCCCTGTGCAACTCTTCCATCTGGCTGTTTCTTAGTTATATCCTTTTATAATAAACCCGTGATTCAGGAAGTAAAATGTTCCTCTGAGTTTTACGAGCTGCTCTAGCAAATTAATCGAACCCAAGAGGTGGGCTATGGGAACCCTCAGTCTACAGCTGGCTGGTCACAAGCTCTGGTGACAACCTGGACTTGGGATTGGCCTCTAAAGTATGGGGACTGAGTCCTTAACCTGTGGGATCTGATGCTCTCTCCAAGTAGATAGTGTTTGAGTTGAACTGAACTGATCTAAATGGAAATGAATTGTGGGGCACCCAGTCAGTACCCACCGAAGAACTGGAGAATAGATCAGTGGTATGCAAAAAAATCACACTGGGGCTTGGCCCTGATGGGTTTCCTGGGACATGGGACTTTCAGAGCTAACAGCCGAAAAGTCCTGGGCAAGCCAGGACAAGTTGGCCCTGCTAATTTTGCTAGAGTTCTGAATTTATTTAATGCAGGTGACTGCTTAGAACCCAGTCCTGTTAAACAGCTGTGCTTCGGAACATTTGACTCTATGACCTGAAGGTACATGGGGATTTGGTTTCTCCATCATCTTTGCCCCCGTACCCCAACCCAAGCTGGTTTTAGTAATGCTCTCTTAGTCAGAAGATACTCAGGAGACCCATGAAGACACCTCTTCACCCTGTAACCGCTGTCTCTATTGCTCCTTCATCCCTGGACAACACACCTCCCCTCACCACTGCAATGAGGGACCCCAAACCCCCACCCTCAAACACTGCACTCCCACTAACTAGCAAGATTTTTTCTTTTTTACGGCAACGTGGCATGTGGGATCTTAGTTCCCCAACCAGGGATCAAACCCACACCGGCTGCATTGGAAGAGTGGAGTCTTAACCACTGGACCAGGGAAGTCCCCTAGCAAGATGGTTTTTGTTTCTTGAATAAAGGTGTTCCCATACACTTCACACTGAGCCAGTGATTCTCACACCTAAGTGCACATCGGAATCACCTGGAGGACCTGTTAAAACACAGGTTCCCAGAGCCCGTCCCCAGGGTTTCTGATTCCGTACACCTGAGGCAGGACCCATCGATCTGCATTTGTAACCAGCTCTCAAGTGATGCTGGGATGGTCCCAGTCCAGGCACCGCCACATGTTGAGATCCAGGGCCTTTAAAAAAAAAAAAAACCACAGTACTACTTCATCATCCCCTTCCAGAATGAAGGGATTTAAAAATTTGCACTGAGGCAAAAAAAAAAAAAAAATGCTTGTTGTTCTTTTCTGGGTAATTTCTGGACACAACCTTTTGTATCAAAGGAACCTGCCACTCCTCAGGCTGAATGCTTTGGATCGGAGCTGACGGGCGCTGAGCCGTGGGTATGTCCTTAGAAGAAGAAAGTTCCCTGAGCTGATGGTCACTCCCCAAAGAGGGCACAGGCCTCAGTAACAAACAGCTGGTGTCCCTGTTCCGAGGCATAAGAAAATCATGCCTGAAGCTTCTCCCCATCAGCCCGAAGGAAGGAAAGCCAACCTGCTTCCCTGGTCTTCACTCTGGCCTCTCTTGCAGGATTGGCACAGCACAGCTGACGGCTTTCACCACCCAGGCAGCTTCCCCAGGCCTCAGAAGGGAAAGGCCTCACCTCTTTCTTAAAAATTTATCTATTTATTTATTTTTGGCTACACTGGGTCTTTGTTGTTGCAGGCAGGTTTTCTCCAGTTGCCGTGAGCAGAGCCTACTCACTAGTTGCGGCTAGAGGGCCCTAGGCTGCATGGGCTTCAGAGTAGTTTTGATTTCTGGGCTTCAGAGCACAGTACACAGGCACAAAAGTTGTGGCACACAGGCTTAGTTGCCCCATGGTACGTGGGATCCTCCCGGACCAGGGATCGAACCCGTTTCCCCTGCACTGGCAGGCAGACTCTTAGCCACTGGACTACCAGGGAAGTCCTAGCCTTGTCATTTCTTAAGAGGCACACCTAATAGAATTTAAGGCCGTGGAAGGCTCTCAAGCTGAGCAGAGTATGTGAGGTTGAGCACCCTGCTTAGGGGATTCAGTTGTGTTTAGAAAAACACAGGGCCCCACAATAGCTCACCAACTCCCACCTTCCCATTAGAAGAGAAAAACTGTGATCTTGTTTAATCTCAAGGTGTCAGGGCTCATCTCCATCTTTGGGGTGGAGAAAGCAAAGCATTTCTCACCGTATTGGCTGGGCCTCTTATGTCGGAATGCCCCAGAGTACTTGTTAGAAGTGCCAGGCCTGCTCTATAATTACGGGATCAGAGTCCCAGGGAGCGGAGGGCCTGATTGCGTTTACAAAATGCCTGGTGATGGTCCACACAGCTGGCGTAGAAGAACCTCCAGAATATTCAGGAGGAAATTAACCAACTCCAGAAGTGGCAAACTCCACTCACTTAAGGCTGCACATTGAATTTCTCTTTCAAAATAAAATTAAAATCAGGCCAAGCTGTACAGGCTGTGACTTGGACATACCTCTTGGATACTATTCTTAAAGGTTTGTTTTAAAAAATACAACAAACGTAAAAGTTACTTTGGGGCTGCTGAGCCCTTCACCTGAGTTTTGTCTCCCGAGCTTGCGGCCTCTCAAACACCTCCCTTCACCCACCTGCCTTGCTGCCTGCCTCCCTCCTCCTCTCTGCAAATTAAGCCCTTTCAACCCAAACAAATCAAACAAAAGGATTATCTCCACCTGCTGCAAGACAGAATCTCCAAGAGGAATGTTATAAACAAACTATGAAGAAACCGAGTGTGTGGATTTGAAGACTTAGGTGTTCACGCATGCATGCATGCTAAATCGCTTCAGTCGTGTCCAACTCTGTGTGGCCCCAGGGACAGCAGCCCACCAGGCTCCTCTGTCCACGGGATTCTCCAGGCAAGAATACTGGAGTGTGGGTTGCCATTTCCTTCTCCGATTTAATTGCTGTCACGTCTAACTCTTTGGAACCCCATGGACGATAGCCCACCAGGCCCCTCTGTCCATGGGATTTCCCAGGCAAGAATACCGGAGTGGGTTGCCATTTCCTTCTCCATAGGTGTTCATAATTCCACTCATAAGCCCACTGGCCCCAAACAGCCGTTCTTCGCTACGAGAGTTGGGTTCTTCTGCTGGGTGACTCAGATGCCTTGTCTAGCATGACTGGGTCCTCTCAGTCCGGAGGACACCTGAACACCTTGAGCCTAAGGCCAGGCTCTGCTTGGAGTTTTGTTCGCCCCTATGCACATTCTTCAGTGAATTCTTCCCCGTCTGGAAAGTCCTTCCCTCTGTGCTGATGACCTGCCCCCGATGGGGACAGTTTCACCGTCACAGCAACCCTGAAGCTTGTCTTCATGGCCCCGTTGTGGTCTTACCTGGTCTTCCTGAACAGACATGACTTAGGTGAATTTTGCCCTTTAGGCTGACTCCCAGATGCCTCTGCAAATTTAATTCCTTCTGACTCAAAATATTAGGTTTGTAATCAATAATCTTTTAACTCATTAAAACTAAAAGCTATATTATGAAGACCAAAATTCTTATCTGTTAAATGAGGGAGAGGGAAAGAAATTGGTAGGTTTGCAACAATCCTTCCAACACTGAAGTTATTAATGATAATAATAATATTAGTAGCTACCACTACTGGACACTTGTGTATGCTAGGCACTATATTTAGCACTTTGTATGCATTACAGGAGAGGCTGTTTAGCTGACCTCTACTGAACCGACTTGCTAGGTTAACCATATTCTGCAGGCCCTCTGCGAATGGTACATACACACCAGTGCTTGTGGCTCATAGTACTCACTTAACTTCTGCTGCGTTAGTCCTCATGTGCTTACCAAGAATCAGTTTATAACAGCTGTACTTGTTACTGTAACTGTGAATTTTCACTATTATAGAAACTGATGAAATATGAGAAAGGAAGTTGTTTCTGTGAAAACAAAATCGAATATGTTGGGAGGTTTCAACAATGGGGAAGCAGCTAAAAAAAATGCTGTCCAATTAAGATTTGTGTGGGTGGACAGAAGTTTGAAAACTGTTAAATTGGAATGTTCGTACAGAAAGTTATTTTACCTGAGTCTTCCCAGATGTCTTTAATTTCTCACTACATTGAAATAAACCCAACCTAGACCTAACAGATGCAGTGTTATGCATGTGGCTTATGCAAAAAAGCTCAAAAAACACCCCCTGGAGGATTCTACATTCAAAGAAAAGGCCATGGCCCCACATTAAAAACTGGGAAATTCTACCTTTTAAGGTAAAATATTTGATGTCATGTTTTATATCAATATCATGTTTTATATCAGTAATTCACTCCTTCAACCATAAGCTCTCTATAATCCATTCCCAATCTCTCAAATAAGAAGTCTTTGTTTTATTTCATTTAACCTTTACAATAATTTTGACAGATAGGTTTACTTATGCCCACTTTAGAGGAGAAACTGAAGTTTAGAGTAATATAAACAACCTATGTCTATGTGTGCAGGCTTAGTCACTTCAGTCGTGTCGTGCGACCCTATGGACTGTAGCCCACCAGGCTACTGTTAATGGGATTCTCCAGGAAAGGATACTGGAGGGGGTTACTATTTCCTCCTCCAGCGGATCTTCCCCACCCAGGGATCGAACCCGGTCTCCTGCATCTCCTCTGCATGGCAGACAGATTCTTTACCACTGAGCCACCTGGTTAGACCATAAACAACTCAAAGTAAAATAGCTACTAGCAGAGAGGAGTTTCAGATGCCAAAACTACACTTCCCATGACTGTGTTCTAAGCCTGTATCCAGCTCCCAGACGATGTCCTGAGTGCTGGCCAGGTAAGGACACGCCACAGAGACACTTGAGTTTGAAGCATCGGTATCTTTTCAGCCCCACCCTCATCTAAAGCTCCTAATGCAGTGATCTGAATATAATAATCTATAATCTATTGGTCATAGATAGATAGCATAGTTTGTGAAAAGAAAGGAAAAAAGTCTTCATCAAATCGCCTACTACAGTTTTACAAAGGGAATATCAGCTCTCTGATGTGGTGACCCAAGTGACATTCCAGAAAGGTCTGGGGATGCAAGTGGACCGTGGCCTCTTCCGGCCGCAGCCCGGTGGCCCCAGCCGGGAGCCGGCCCTTACCTGCGGTCACGTGGCGATGCGGCAGGTGCGGCTGGAGCCCGGGTCACCGCGCAGAGCTGCTGCTCCCGGGGTAGCCGCCAGATGGGATGACTCGGCTCAATTTTCCCAGCCCTGAATTCCTAACATAGAAGAAAGGAAACGAGAAGCAGGGTCTGTTCAGGATAACGGGTCAGCGCAGAGTGCTGGAAAGTGAGACTCAGATGAGGGAAAACAACACAATCAAAGTTTAGATGGGCTTGAAGTGGGGGAGGGGGCCGACCTCTGATAACCACAGCCCTGTCCTAGGCAGACACAAGCCCCCTTGTATCCTTTCCTTCCCCAGGCCGGGATGAGGTGTCTTCCCACCTCTCTGTGCTCTGTTTCCCACTTATTCGCCCCTCACTCCGAGTCCCACCCACAGTTTCTAAAGAAAGGACTGCAATTCTGAGGCTCCTTCGCCTGCGCGGAATGAGAGGGCCCTGCCCAGCCGCGATCCCGGGGGCGGACGCTAGATGGCGGCATCGCTCAGTGGACCGGTTCCAGGGAGCCCCTGCGAACGGCAGGCGCTGCGGCGCTTCCCTCCCTAATCCAGTTGGAATAGTTTTGAATCTCAGAACGGGACACTGTGTTCCCGGCCAAGCGGCTTCATTGTGACTGATGGCTGCACCACCAGCCAGAGCGTTGACCGTTGATGTCGCTTCCTGCCCAGCAAACAGGTCCTGAAAGGACTGATTTGAACTCTCAATAATGTAAATGATTTATTGGGAAAACCAAGCCAAACAAAAAAGCCTATGTATAAAAAGTCTTTGTGCAATTAAAGAGGCTCCCTTCCATCATTCTTTCTTCCCTGGACTCTCCACCCAAGTGCATAAATCTATTTGTTGACAATTATTTACTGTCTGAGTATGTGTTGGGTAACTTGGGCAACGTGTGGGAAAAAGGAAAAAGTTCTATTTTTTTAAAGTTCCAGGAGCTTCTGGTTATGCTAATAGGTAATGTTTATTGAATATTTCTGAGTGCCAAACACTGGGGTAGATAGTGCGCAGACCATCTTGTTTGATTCTTAGGTTAGTACTCTTAATTATGATCCTCATTTTCGTAATGGGGAAATTGAGGCACAGGGATGACCTTGCTCAAGGTCACATGGTTAATTAGTAGCAGAGTGAGAATTCAACCACAAGTGGGCTCATGTCAGAGCTTAGACCCTTAGCCATGATACTGGGCAGTGGGCAAGTTTGGGAAATCTAACTGGGTGACAGGTGGACAAGTATAAACTGAAGTATATCAGAGTGGAAGTTTGGAAGACAAAGCAGAGGGAGAGAAAACGGATGCCTTGAGAAAATAAGAATGAGGCTAAAACAAAAGCCTCTTTGGGCATACACGGGCACCCAGATGACCTCTGAAAATGCAGTTTCAACGGGGAAAAGAAGCTAGACTACAGAGCTGGGGAAGAGAGAGAGGAATGAAGGCATCTCACTACACAAGGAAGGCAATAAAGAGACTAGAGGAGACAGCAAGGTCAAGAGAGGCACTCCGGGGTTGCTGGGCGATTTTAAAATAGAATACAGCTTGGATGTGTTTCAAAACTATTGCAAAGGAGACCTAAGAGGTAGGTAGTGCAAGCAGTAAATAGTAAGATAGGAACAGCTGAACGGAGGGATCAAGGGGACAGAGGAGAGAGTTAGCTCTGGGGGGGGGGGCGGGGAGAGGACCCTCCCGACCCCCACTCCTCAATTTTTATCTGAAACTGGGAGACAACCACAGAGATGGAGATGCATCAACGTGAAAATGAGAAGAATGAGCAAGTTTGATTCATCCAAATCAGCCTCTATCTTCTCAGGAAGACCAGAGTTGGATTATCTGCCAAGAGTGGGAATAAGATTGAAGAGGTTATATCCTTGCAGTGAACTAATCTATGCAGTGCTTAGGATGACCAAAAAGCAGATAAAATTAAGCCAGGCCACAGAAGCAGATGGAGAAATAAAATCTATGCTGCAAGTGTCAGGATTCTCTGCCAAGTCTCACAGGTGACTCAGGACTGAAATATACCTGCCCCCCTGCCCCCATGGACGGAAATACAACAGATAGACTATTAATAACCCCTCAGGTCTAAAGTTTCTTTGTATGCAGGTGTTGAAACATTTGGCAGAGAATTAATGTGTTCCTCATTTGCCAAACGGGAAAACAAAAGGCAGACAAGTTTGCCTGTTTGGCTTCAAGTCATAGAGAAAATCTGGGCACAACCAGAGTTGGTACTCAGGAGGCTTGCTGATCCAAATTCTGCTCTGTTAAACACTTCCCACAAAGAGCATGGACACAGCCAACGACCTCAGAGAGTCCCAGACACAGCAAAACCTGGGAAGCATCCAGACCAAGACATAATGCCGAAGCAACAAAGGTTCACCTAACATGGCCTTGGGACACAGCACAGCTCTTCTGGGAATTAGAAGCCTCTTTGATAATTCGATTGCAACAGATTGATGTACTTATGACACAATATCCTTCACATACTGTAATTATTTCATTTTATTGTTTAACAACTCTATTTTCACTCTCAATTAATATTTCCTTATTGTCGGGAGTTCAGGGGCTGATGCCTCTGGAAAAATCAAAGAGGGTAATTATTGAGTCTGCTGTTACTGATGAAAAAGACAACAGGCAGAACTAAATTGGTCAGCAATTCACTGTCGACTTAGACTTGGCACATGAGGACAAATGGCTGGCAGCGATCAATACGGTTTCCTCTTTGGGGTCAGGATGTTCAGAAGACCCTCCCTCTGTACTTGTGCGTGCTCACATCAGGAAACTTGCCTAAAAGGGATGGTTTTGAGTTTCTTCCCTCTCATCTTCTTTCAGGAAATACCTCCAGGTCAGGCCAAACTCTCCCTTGATTTTCACTTCTAAAAAGAAATCTAATCAGCTGCCTGCTCAGCCACAAATTAGGAATGCCAGTTTCTCATCCAATCTTCCCTTGTTCTTCAGTTGCTCGTGGAGCTCCTCGTTTCAGCAAGGCGGAGCGCTCCCAGGTGCCCTCTGGAGACCGCAGAGGGCAGAGAGAAGACTTGGTCTTCCGTGTCTGTGGGAGTTATTAAGGGCCCAGGAGAGGAGGGGACAAAGAGCACTCCCTCAGGCTAGCCTAGGGTTCGATCCCTGGGTTGGGAAGATCCCCTGGAGAAGGGAAAGTCTGCCCACTCCGGTAGACTGACCTGGAGAATTCCATGGACTGTAGTCTATGGGGGCCACAAAGTGTTGGACGCAACTGAGCGATTTTCACTTTTCACTTTCTACTACAGAGCTGGTTTATTTTAATACAAAAGCAACTTTTTGTTTCAAATCTTTGAATACAATAGATAGCACAAGGAGAAACACAGGGTTTCTCCCCCTTTAAATCCCTTCAGGCACAGGGAGGCAGGAGCCTACCTACGAAGTCTCTCCAGTTCTACCAACCAAGAGCAAGAAGCTGTTCTCAGCCATTTCCTTGTCCAGCCCAGCATCTGGCTGCCCTGCGGTCTGTTTTCCTGACTATATCACTTGACAGTCAGTGTCAGTACTGAAAGCAAGAATATGTTCCAACTTTTCTGTTAAGTAGCCTGAGATGATCTCGGAAAACAGTTTGCTACTCAACCCAGAAAACCCACAGAGTCATGCAAATCCAGAGGTTCAAATCTTCATGTTCACTGCCCAGATCATCGAAGTGTGCATATCTGAAAAGCGGGCAAGTCTGTGAAAGATGTCACTTTGCAGAAGCAACGTGTGCCCCTCTGTCGTCCCAGTGGCTGAACGCCCAGGCCAAGAGGGCTGGCACAGGGTTGGTGGACCCTAGAGTGCTGCGTGTTTGCCGAAAATGCTTTAACGCGCAGAGAGTGACCCTGAACTAATCTGATGTCACTTCTCACTGGGTGCTGAGCTCATCCAGGTGAGCAAAGCCCCAGGGTATGCCTCTGGGTTTACAAAGCTCACAGTCAGATTAACCCCCATGAATCCTGCCACTGGCCAGTGAGCCTTACTGAAAAAGGGCAGATGGTTTCACAGAAGAAAACCATGCCCCAGAAGAAACTGAAGAAGCAAAACCTTATGGTGCAGGAATAAATTCAGCATAAAGTAAGTGCAAATAAAAGTAAAAAAAGAAGTTCAAGTTTTTTGTTTGTTTGTTTGTTTGTTTATGACCCCATGGACAGGCTCCTCTGTCTATGCATGGGATTTCCCAGGCAAGAATACTGGAGCAGGTTGCCATTTCCTTCTTTAGGGGATTTTCCAGACCCAGCGATTGAACCTGAGTTAGCAGGCCGATTCTTCTTCTTTTTTAAGAGTTCAAGTTTAAACATCTTTCCTAGCTGAGACATTAATTACCCACACCGTCACCAGTACCCCCACACCATCACCAAAACCCCTACTACTTGCAAAAATAATCCTAGAAATATGTGAACATTTCCCAGCCCAACTGGTTCAATCTATAGCAATCAATGAACTGTGTTGAGCAACAGTGTTGCATAGAATTGGTTGAATCCAGAAAATATTCCGTGCTGTCTTACCTGAGCTGGGTGATGAGGCCTCCTCCTCGGAACTCATCCTGGTGAAAGACAAGTGATTACTCCCAGGAACATCGCAGTCCTTTAAACAAGCTTGGGGCTGGCCGTCAATTGCGTTTTTGTCCTTGAAGATGAAACATAGAGCAGATTGACATTTTATCACGAGTGGGAAATGCATCATAAGGCCTTTTTAGGCTATCTATCCCTGATAGTTGGCTAGAGGTTCATTATAGGCCATGCTGTTTTGCAAACTTTGAAAAGTTTTTGTGTTCGTTTCCTGTTTCTGCAAGGGCCCAGGGAGAGAGCCCCAGGAGCCTCACTGCGGCAGAGAATTGAAACAATAGATAGCCTGAGAGTCAGATCAAGCCCACCAACACAATCACAGGTCACATTCTCCCTGCTTTTCACATCCCCAGGCGTTCTCATGCTCTCCGTAGTGTTGTCTCCCACAGTCCTAAGAAAGGGATCGCTCTCAGGCCTCTTCGACAGCAGGGAGGCTGAGGGGCTGGTAGAGTGAATAGGGGTCTTGCCCAAAGACTCCAAGCTGGTTGATGGACCGGGCTTCCTCTCCTGCTCTGAGCAGCCACAGTCGTTGGAGGGTTCGGCCACTC